CCTGGCTGAACCCAGCACAATCCCAGAGATGTCCACTTCCTTAACAGAAATGCAAAGCAGAAAGCAAAGACAGACGTAAGAGAGATGGCAGGGCTGGGAGATTTACAGAGACTAGACAGCTAAAACCCAGGGGACTGCATTAAGTGCGGTTGACCTGTGATGGATATACTCAACCCTTAACCAAACTAGCAATTTTGGTACAGGCTCCAAAGAAGGTAAAGGCCCGAGCCATAGCTGGACCAAGAACTCCTCTAGTTCCAATCTCTCCTCTGAAAACCCACAAAGGAGCCAAGTGACACAGTAAGCATCAACACACATGAGCTTGGAACATCGATCATGCAATAACACAGGAACAATGTGTGGCTTTTCCAAGGCTCATTTATCAAGGAACAAAGAATGTTATGAGTACAAGGAGTCTTATGAATATTTTTCCCATCACATGTAATTTGACTACGAAGCAACCACTTTATCCCATAAAAATTACTGCCTGTGCGAGAGCCTTCTTTGAGCTCTCCCTGCTAGGCAGCACAGCTACATGGGGGTGATCTTCCCCTGAGCTGAGACGCCTCTCAAGGTTGCTCCTCCAGGCAGAGAGGTCTTTTACCAACTGCACATCTTTGGTAAGCAACCGGTATCATACACAACCTCGTAGCAGGAGAACTTTTATTTCGTCTTGGTAACTTCTATTTGTGACTTGATAACTCAGATTTTGTCTTGGTAACTTTGGATCATCACTCAAATGACTGCTGTACAGTAACAGAGTGAGCCTTGCCACTGAACTTCATTCAAGTCACACTTTTACAACATCATATTAAACCCACTTTTGCTAAGACCTTTGACAGTGGTTCTTTAAGCGATCTGAATCACCCCTTTGCAACAGAACCAGAATAGAAAATACAGACGAGTAGAGGAAGGTTGTACAAGTGTTGTTTTAAATGGAGAAGGATAACTACTGAAGGATACTACATGGGCATGACAGACACTGAGGGAGTACTTGAAAAATAGATATTAACAAAAACTAAAAGTCAAAAGAAAGAAGCGTGTTTCAGAAGATTTATCAAAATGGTTTTCTAAACTTTAATGGAAAATCTAGAAGACACATTGATGAATGAAGAAGAAGACATGTAAGGAATGAAAGAGGAAGAGATGTCAGTCCCTGGCTTCAAGCAAAGACAGGGAGTGGGAAGAAATTATTCTTTGAGCTCTGCCAAACTTGGGCAACTCTGGCCAGTGCTTTAAAATCTGAGCCCAGCTGTCAGCTCCTCAACCTGTAAGGAGACACCCAGGTTGGCAGCATGACAGGACATAGGTCACCCCCTCCACTGAAGTCATACACCGCTCAAAAATCTTTAAATTGTATTGAAATAGTTCCTTTTCACAAAGAGTTGTTACATTAGCCTTTTGTGTGGTAGATACAGTAACAATATTGTCTTCTACAAAATAAATGTCAGGATTATTTCAGGGACCTAAGAGACACCAAAACACTATGTCAAATTTAGGAAAGATCCTTGAAATTAAGAATGTGAGACTATCTCAGTTATGCAAGGACCTAACCAGGGAGTGCCTGGAGCTGGCAATTACTTAAATGAGTGAAAAGATTTATCAAAGTGAGCAAAATAATGCACAATTTTAGCTAGATTAGAGACTAAGCCCTTTATTTCACTACCTCTTTACAAAACCCCACTGGCTATGAAATGCAAAAAGCAGCTGAGTTAGAAAGCCCAAGTTAAGAAATCACAGCTGCTGGAGAGTTATCTTCATTTGTGAATGTGAAGTTCCAACAAATATGAGCTCTGGATTAAAAAACCAAAACCAAAACCAAACCAAAACAAACCCCAAACAGCAAACCCAACAGAACAAAGAAGAAAGAGTGAAAACTGAGGAACAGGAAGGCAATCACTATGTTTCTGCAATGGTTATGTGCTTAACCTCAGTCTACAGTGATCCATTAGATCTTGGACAACTTAGGGAGGTTGGACACAACTATACCTGGGGACTAAAAAAAAAAATATCTAATCAGCACCAGAGTACTACAGACAGCAGAGAACTAGTTTTCAGAAGAGTGAGAAAAACCCATTTATTGCTCAAACCTATTGTTGTAAAATCCTGGTTCACTTGCTCAGCAATTCAGTCCAAAGTCAGACAGGCCCCTTCTCACACAATTAAATCATGGTGAATTTCTTCCTATGATTTACTTATTCCCTCTGCTGTTGTTTAGTTTATTTATAGACTGTCATGAGACTAAAATATATGTTGCCAGTATGCTCCTGCTAACAGCTTGTTTTACTGAATCACATTTTCCTGTTTGCTGTAATGTGAAGATATCATTCCTAATAATGTTGGCACCTTTCTCTTCCTTGCCCAGTACAAGCTGCAGGTGTAGGAAGGCTTCAATGATAGCGCTGTGATGGTACCTGAAAAGAAGTAGTGCAGCTGAAAGAGTGGCTGGAAAGCTGCCCAGTGGCTGGAAAGCATCCCAGCCTGCATCAGGAACAGTGTGGCCAGCAGTACTAGGGAAGAGATTGTCCCTCTGTACTGGGCACTGGTGAGGCCACACCCCGAATCCTGTTTTAGTTTTGGGCCCCTCACTACAAGAAGGATATTGAGGTGCTGGAGCATGACCAGAGAAGGGCAACGGAGCTGGGGAAGGGTCTGGAGCACAAGTCCTGTGAGAAGCAGCTGAGGGAACTGGGGTTGTTTAGCCTGGAGAAGAGGAGGCTCAGGGGAGACCTTATTGCTCTGTACAGCTACCTGAAAGGAGGTGGCAGAGAAGTGGGGGTTTATCTCTTCTCCCAGATGAGAAGTGATAGCATGAGAGGAAATGGCCTCAAGTTGTCCCAGGGGAGGTTTAGATTGGTTATTAGGAAAAACTTCTTCAGTGCAAGTGCAAGTGGAACAGGCTGCCCAGGGAGGTGGTTGACTCACCGTCCCCGGAGGTATTTAAAAGATGTGTAGATGTGGTGCTCAGGGACACTGTTTAGTGGTGGGCTTGGCAGTGTCACCTTAACATCTGGAGCTGATGCTCTTAAAGCTCTTTTCCAAAGAGTTCCTAAAGCTCTTTTCCAACTTAAACGATTCTATGGTCTTATGGACACAGACTGACACTGAATTCTGTAATTGAAATGATTTAGCCAAGCATGAATCTTCTGCTGTTTCCACTGTCCTTGGCATGATGAGAATTTTTGCACTTATTATTATAGACTTTAAAGCTATTAGTTCTTTTTTTTAAACCTATCGCAAAATGCATGTTTGCCACCAAAAAAAAAAAAACCAACAAAAAAACCACTAACAAAAAAAAACGAAGAACACATATTTGCACTAGCAATGACCAACTTACAATAACACCAACACTCACTAATCCAAACAGTAATATAGTGCCAAAGTTCAGATTAATAAGACCCTGTCCTTTCTTTTGGTTTCTCCATGACCTTGCAAACACAGAACAGTACTATGGAGACATACATACTGTACACCTATGGTTTCACCCACAAGCCTTGAGTGAAATTCCAGCTTACTTGTATAGCGGACATCTGGGCATATCCTCTCCAACTGAAGCTAGGAAATTCCTGAGGATCATAGCCAAAGCGAATTTCCTTTCCCTCGACAGTAGTACCATCTTCAATCTCAAACTTCATGTGGTGCAGATCAGGGAAGAAATAGTTTTTTTCAGGCCTTTTAAGGAAAAAGAAAAAAAACAAAAAAAAACAAAACAAAGAATTACCAGTCGCTGTATGGTCTACATCTCAGAGCATAATGCAGTGGAAGGGAGGTGACCTTCCACTGGAGATGACTGAGGAATCCTGATAGCAGCTAATGAATTCAATATAGCTGGTAAGATGGATTTAATGAGAGTTCTTTTTCCAGAAGCTTCTACAGCTGTATGTTTTCCCATATAACTCTTGATAGATACATAGATACATATGTGATACTATTGAAAAACAGCTATTGGTTATTTAAGGAAACAAGCTTAAAAATCATATTAAAATAAAGAATAAAATCAAAATTTTATGCCCAGAAAAATATAAATAACTACCACAATCGACCAGCTTATTTATCAACAAATCCCGATCTCACGTGAAAGGATAGCAAGGGATCGATGGGCAGTTTGAAAAGAACTATGCTGAAGCACGAGCTATCAGAAGCTACAGGCAGACTCACTCCTGACAGGCTGTCCCCACGATGTGCGCCCTGCACTGGCAGCCACCCGAGGGCTCGGCACATGCTGGGCTGAGGGATCCTCCAACATCACAGCGGCAGCCTGGCAGGCAAAGAGAAGAAGCCACATATCCCAACAGAAAAAAAGGTGATAAAAGTTATCAGAAAACACACCTCGCTTCTACTAATTAAACACCATTATGAACTCAATTTCCACCTTCCAAGGGAGCCCTTCAGACTCCCCTCCTACCAGACTTTCAAACACATGTTAACATGTAATAAAGCATAAGCTGCAATTATTTCTGGCTCCCCATGTTTGTGGTTGTTTTCTTCACTTCCCCTTGGAATGTGAGAAAAACCACTTTGGAAAAAAAAAAAATCACAAGTAATAAGCCATGCCACATTACCACATGGTGGACTACAGTTCTGCAGGGCAGCCATTCAAATGTTTTTCAATGCCAAGTCAGAATTTCTACAGCAATATCAGGATACATAATTATTTAAAAAAACAAACAAAAAAACCCCCAACCAACCAAACCAAACAAACTCTACCCCAAAAAAACCCTAACCTACAAAAAGTGTATGATGTTCGTTTTTCAGAGGCTGGTACCACAACATTTAATTTATCTTACAAAAATTGCACATAGCAAGATATGTGTTTATGTAATAGCATGTGCATATGTTTAAGCAATACTGGATAACGATACTGATTGACTTTCTCCAGGAGAAAGGAATTGCAGCACAAACTAAAGGACACCCCGAGTAACAAGGTATACTTCATCATATTAAAAACAACTATGTCTAGGCTAAACATACATTTACATCCTAGTGTAAAAGCATCCTGTTTTCTGAGACATGTTGAAAATCCATAATCTCACTGAAATCAAGGTTAATTAAATCCTAAATTAATCAACACCTTTGCAAAGCCAGATTGCTGTCATTGGCTCCTTCATTTGCACGTTAGGCATGGAAGCTTTGTTTGATACAGTAGCCATTATTTTTAACGTTGCACATACTAAACGATGGTAAAGAGTACTTCAGCACTGTCAACCCTGGACAGCTGTAAAGCACACTGAACTCTGTGAAAATGCTTTCAATAATTTCAACAAATCCCAAACTTGGGGAGCAAGGAGGAAAGGGAACTGTCAAAGTAGCCCTGACATTCCTCAAATCACATGGCAGAGAAAGTATCCTGAAGAAGGAGCACTTTCTCCACATCACAGATACATCTGGCTCTGCTTCAGAACACACAGAGACATGAGCTAAAGCAATACAGGAAAATACCTGCAAAATAATCAAGCTGGCATCTGCTGTAACTTTCAAAGTTTTTATTGCAGCAGCAGACCTTAGAAAACGGCTAAGTGGAACAGTCATAGAATCACAGAATGGTTTGGGTTGGAAGGGACCTTAAAGACCATCCAGTTCCAACCCCCCTGCCATGGGCAGGGACACCTTCCACC